CTCTATCTATCTATCTATCTATCTATCTATCTATCTATCTATCTATCTATCTATCTATCTATCTATCTATCTGTCTGTCTGTCTGTCTATCTCATTCCTAAATTATGTTATACGGACTCAAAATATACAACCTATGGTCTCAGCCAAAAACTTCGAAGTTGCCATGGTAAAAGAGAAGGATAAAATTATAAATGTCGGCTCAATTCGTTTTCCACTGGAATTTTTGACACTGTTGTGTGTCTATTACCTCATAAAATTACCATATCTGAATAATTTTAACGGAAAATGGATAGGAAAAATAATGCACTCGTGAATAGCTGTCATCAGGGACTGGGGTGATGGTGTTCTCGGCTCATATTATGTTGCTTCGGGTACGTAAAGGTGGCGAAAGAAAAACCCTATTATTTGCACAACTCTGGGAAATTAAATACCGATAGCAAAACGAAGACATTCCTCGAGCTTCCGAACGAACATTAAGTGGTATTATTTGTAGTACTCTAGGGAATTGAATACAAATGGCAAAACGAAGACATTCCTCGAGCTTTCGAATGAATATTAAATATTTCTCGTGCTTTGGTCTAATGCCCTGCGCCGTTATTTAGTTATGGCCGTATGTGGTAGGCAATGTTAGCTAATGGCCCTCATGTTTAGCACTTCGTGATGCCAAGGAACTTTTATTATTTGCTTTGCCACAGAACCCCCATTGTTCTCAGCTTATCACTCGTTGTGAAAGACGGCGTGTTTGAATCTGTAGAACTAGGAAAGCTAAGTACACTCTGACTCAAGGCTTCTCGTCGATATTACGGGCATTATGATGTTAATACAATAATTTTCTTACGAAGTTAAGACCGCAGTAAGAGCAACGCTTTCGTGTCTTATTTCCTGTTCATTGTCCGAGTTAGTACGGGGCACGTCCCTTGGTGATCTAGTTTCCCGGCAGGAATTCACGCAGGTCTCACAGGGACAAATGAAAAGCCCGGAAGTGGCTTGCATTTACTCTAGTATTATTATAAATTTCTTATTATCATTATTATCATTTTTAATGGAAACCATGTTCAGTCAAACCTGCTTTGTCGGCAACACGTCCGAGACAATTGCCTGTAGGAACGACCACTTCCCACTCTACAACTACCCCCCTCTCACACACACTAATAAATGCACAC